AGTGTAAGCATAATTTCTAACAATTATTGATTTTCTTGTATGAAAAACATAATTCCATTATTATAACAAAAAGTTTCATTTACTAATTACTGTATTTCCTATCATCAAAAAGCCATTTGATTTATTTTTTTTTATCCTATAAGACTCGGATCAAAAGTAAATAGTTTTTATTTCCCTCAAAATTAGTGTAAATCCTTGAGGCTGGGAAATAGGTTTAAATAAAAAATAATTTGTTAATTTTGTGATATTAGCATTTATTTACTACATTGATAAAATAAGAACTTCCCCTCCCCTCTTTATTTTATTATTAAGCTCCCTAAAATGGGGTGGCTGGTGGTAAGTTAATATACCGAGAAAGTTAGTTCTAGGAAATCTTGACTTGTTTAATGTTGTTTTTCCTTGAACATAAGATTCTCACCTCACTATTAAACAATCTTCATATCTTTCCTTTTTATATTTATAAAAAAAAAAAAAAACGTTTTTTCTCTGCACATTTCAAACTAAAAATGTTATAAAACTTTTCTTATCATGTTTTGTTTTTTTGTTTTTTTTTTCCTTGAAGGTGTCATAAAATTTGCTGGTATCAAAAAAAAAAAAAAAACTTTTGTTAATGACAGATAAGTATTCAGTTATTTCAAGTTTGTTTTAAAGCTATCTCCTCTGCTTCCTCAGTTGCCATTAGTGTTACAGATTTTTCTCAGCCAATGTTTGGTCACTGCACCAATTTTAACAATGTGGATTTAATTACATATCTGATCACTTTATTATTACTTTCAATTTGTTGATATGTGATAACCATGACAAAATGAAACACAAGCAACAAGATATTTTATTATTACACTTTCTAAATCAACATTGGAAGTTGGAGTAAAGTATTTTTGACAGGAGGTAATAAATATACTGAATGTTATAAGTGAAAGGAAGCTGATGAGTAAAATTATATCCTTATACGAAAATTTCCTGGATCTCTATAATATATAAATACATAAGCTTTTATTGAATCGTTTTTCACTTTCTGAATGGTCATCCGGTGCTGTCTTTGTTGTATTTGTAATTGTTTATAATGTTTGAATCTAAAAACATTACTTTCCTCTTTCCCCTCACCACTGTAACCTTTTTTTGTTTGCCACTGAAGATTTTTTTTTAAGTTTGACAAAACCTAACATGGCTGTTCATCTTATAACATTTAATTCTTTTCCTGAATGTAAAAAAAAAAAAAAATAAATAAATAAATCACTAATACTCTTCAATGGAAAGGACATAAGAATCATTTTCCAATTAACTGATTCACATGATCAAACAAATCTTTTCAAAATTGGAATATTGTCTTGATTGATTATTGCTTTTTTCTTTTAGTTTTAAAAAATATTGACTATCCTAGAAGTAGTAATTAATTCACAATATGAGACATAGATAAAAATCATCATTTTTCTTAGAATTGCAGTAGAATTTATCAAAGACTGTTTGAATCAGCTCGTTTATTTACTACTATGTAGAGTAGTGTTCTGTGTTTGTCATAACTCAAAGAATTTGACCTAGCTGTATAAGTTTATCTCTCAATATATAATCTTTACCCCACTATCTTAGCTAAAATGTTTAACTTAAATCCCTCTGTGCCACAAAGATCATGAACATAAAAACACTTAGAATATAACATTATAAATGTGTTTTGTTTTTTTTTTTTTTCCTTTTAATTTACAGTTCACTCTAATCTTTTAAAGTTTACTTAAGTTATAAAAATGTTCATTAATTTTTTATTTTTTTTTTATTAAGAGTATAAGGGGCGGAATAGCCTGTCTAGTGGACAAATTGGTTCCATGTCAAGCCTTGGTTAAAAATTAAATATTTCAAATTCTGTTTGTTTGAGTAAAGTTTTTTCTTTTTTTTTCTTCTACTTGGAAGAATAAGACAAAATAATCTTCCTACCCTTCACTAAACTCAGCTTAATAAATATCAAAAATATAGGGAAATTGCTTTTATTGTAACCAATAAATATAAAGAACTTATTGCCAGTTTTCTGATATTATAAGTTTAACAAATAATCCTAAAAAGTATTAACTTTGTATCTACAATAGTGTTTATTGCTATTGAGGTTGGTCAGTAGACACTAACAAAGCTCAAATAATCAATTTTTTTTTTCTTATAGGGTATTAAAATTGGAAGTGTCACATAGTGATCCATTCCCCCAGAAAAAAAATCACTTGGTCTTAACATTGTCAGCACTGGGCAATGTTATTGTTTATAACCCTTTCTGTTGCTTCTTCTCTTACCTCTCAAGATTAATTTTGATCACATGCTGATTACCACTTATGCTTTAAATTCAATGTTAAATTCTAATAGAGTGTGAAAAATAAAGAGGAAAGTAGGACTCCATGAAAAAAAAATTGATCTTTGTTAAAGTCCAATATTTTTTAAATTTAATTTGGTATATGCAAGTGTAGGTGACCTGGTGATTGACTGAGAGACCAATTCAAATTATGGCTCAGTTTGACTGCTTCTGTTCACTTTAAACAGATATCTTTTGGAAAGATAAATCTCATTACCAGTCCTGCCACAATACATGATTCACTTGCCGAGGCAGCAGCCAAAAAAAAAAAAAATTGCCAACCTTGACAGAAGCCAAAACTGTCCCTTGCAAGAACTCTTGTGAATACTGATTGGATAGTGTTGAATATCTCTAATAATAAAGAATAGCACTAAAAATAAATTAAGTGTTAGCATATATTAAGATAGGGTGGTTTGTGTGTGTGTGTGTGTATAATATTAAAATATATTAGGAAAAATTACATTTCTTCATGCACACTTCTTAGAAAAGAATGTTTCAAATATTGTTGGGTAGGTGCAATGAATTCTCATTATAATCTCCCACTAGGCATTAGAAATAGGTTTAGTAAGTGAAACTAGTTCTGGCAGCCTACTTTGAAGGAATTTTGCTATGTCTGCAAAATAATAAACTTACTGCCAAATAGTCTATAAATCATATGGTTCAATTTTTTTACAAAAATAAAACTGCCATCAAAATTTAATTTAGATTTTATGTTGATATCTTACATGTACAGTTTAAATTTTTTTTTTTTTTACATTATTATCCTTCCTTATTGGTATTTTTGCTTATTTCTCTCTCACTCCCAATCTTGTTAATCCACTGTAACCCCTAAAATATCCTTGATGCAAATGATTAATTCTGGTAAATATTTTTAGGTCACTGTGCCACCTCAACATTTTATCAAGATCATTACTAGTTTAGTATGTTTGATCCTAATGAGGTGTGTCATACTAAGGTAAATGAAAGACCCATAACAAAATAACTTGCATTAATTTCCATATCTTAAACATTTTCTTACACATAATGAGAACAAGCTAACTTAGCAGCCTATTAGCTAATACTAATAGAGAATTAATATCTTCTTGAATTTCCCCCACTTTAACCTTGTGCCAGATTAGCCCTAAACTTATTCTAACTACACCTTTCTGTATGGAAAAAAAAATCTCCCAAACATTTTGTAAAATAGAACATAACAATAAAAACAAAGGTTTATCATCAAAATATTTATTAAGAGGAAAGACTAAAGTATTTTTGATTAAATTTGTGAATCTTGAAATAGTCAAATTTTACTTAAATTTTCACAAATGAATTAAATATTTGTACTTAATTTAATTTCTTGAAATTTCATAAAATTAAGTTCCAGAATCTTTCTATTTATATTAGTTTTAAAGCAGGAGTCCATAGAGAATTTAGATAACACCATTTACCAAAAATCTGCTCTAGATCATAAAAGAAAAAATGCAACAAAACTACAGCATTAATTAGAAAATGTTTTTAATAGCTTTTATAAATAAGATATATTAAGAACACTATTGTCTTAAGGAAAAACATTTTGAATTTGTATAAGATTTTTTTTTTTTTTTTAACTTAGAAAAACTTATTAAGTTATAAAAAAAAAAAAAATGGTGTATTAATTTCAATGGTTTTCATATTAATTGAAATACAGTGAAATGCTTTGTTGGAAATAAAAATAAAAAAAAAAAGCTTTAGGAAATCTTAAAATTCATTTTAAACCTTAGGCGTCACTTTTTTTTTTTTTGTAGAGGTATATATATATATTATATATGCTTTTTATGCAAAGCAAACACTATCATTTTGATCCAACTTATAGTCTGGCACAGGTCCACAATATGAAACTCAGTACACTGCTGAATGGGCTGTGAAATGAACTTGTTACCTATCATTGTACACTTGAAATGTACACCTAGCTTTTGCTAATTTGACTAATTACTCAAATTCTTTGTTCCTGGTAACTTATTTCCATATTGTTTGTCAAGGTTGCCCCATCCCCAGTGAAGGGAAGTAGGTGTTTAGTTACTCTACTAAAAATTCAATACATAGGCTTTATTCTTAAGTTCCCCCTCAACCTTGATCTCTTTGCTTTTAACCCATTGCTTTCTTGCAATGTATAACGGTGATACAATGTGCATTCATTTGAAACCAACACATTTTTTCACATTTTCACTGTCATGTTTTTGTTAAAAATGGAAGATTGTGCAACTTTTGGTGTGTTTTGATAATCATAACTTGGTTATAGTTTTATGTTGAAAATAAATTATTGAATATTTGAATTATTTGTTTTTATTTGAACTTATTTGTCTTGATAGAAAAAAATATTTCAATTATATTATTTATAGTTAATTTGTTTAAATATTGCACAAACTATTGTTTGCAGCATGTGGCAATTTTTCATTTTTAAACTAGGCTTATAAAAAAAAAAAAAAAAATACTATAGCACTTTAAAAAGGAGTGCCATTTGTTTTTTGTTGGGGAGCCAAGCCTCGTTAGCACAAAATATGAAAAAAAAAAAAAAAACCCTGTTAGATACAAAAAAATATTTTATTGAAATCTGTAGCAGCAGGTAAGTACCAAACTGAATGGAAAAATGCTGGTTTCTAGGCTGGAATGACCCTCAATATTGAGTGGGGGGGAAACAGGCGTGTTTCTCAGGATATTAACTGGTGTCCATAGTATCAGAAGCTAGTATAAAAAGAAAAGTTTTTATTATAATTCAATTTGACATATTTGAAAGTGTTAAATATAATAATATAAAAATATAATAATATAAATTAGAGAATTTTTAATATGCATACATTGTATTCAATTTTTTTTTTTCTTCTTTTTCTCAAGTCTCCTATAGAACAACATGTCTTAAATAATACTAATTGTACTTTAATAAAGAGTATTTACCCTGATAATGTTACCAAAATCAGATTATTTAGCAAAAACATAAATCCCTTCCAGTCAATTTAAATTAGTTTTGATATACAGCAAATCATTTTGCTCATTGTGAATATTAAATTTAATCTATTACCTCGAAATAAGAACTTCTACAAAGAGTTCCTACAAAATAAATCTTACAAATCTGTCAATCTACTTATAATATTACTAATACAATGTAGTTTCCAACCCATCTATAAACTTACATATTTCATTAAACATGAATGCTTGCTGATATTCCTTTAAGAACTGTGTGGATCGAGATTCATCCAAAAACAAAGAATACACCCGCTTTATGTCATCAACATCAACTTCAGTGCTCTGCAAGAAAAGAAATTTTCAAGTAGGACATTTGTGATATTTAAGAGTTGCAGTTCTTAATTCACCAATATTTTAATAAGTTAAATTACTTCATGCTCATTAGAAAATTTGAAATCAGTGCAATTTCTTTTAATGTTTCTGTGCAGTTAGCACAGAAACATTATTACTATCTATAAATGTGGTCACACACATATCGACTTAATCAGGCAGGTTATTACTGTCACAATGTGACAAATGCAAAATAAAACAAAATGCTGAAAGTTAACCTAGATAAATTAAGCAAAGATTAAAAAACAAAAGTAGTCACTAACAGGAAGTAAGGACTAAAAAATATTGGTATATATGACTATATAAAGGGGAACAATTTAAAATAACACACAAGACTGAAGTATTTCTGATATTGGTCGAATGAAGGCAAAACAAAAAATGAATAGATGAACATAGAAGATAATGATAATATGTTTAACAGAGAATAATGTTCTTTCGGGATTGAGAGACATGACCCCACTGCAGCCTGTTCATTGAATGGCCTTTCAAGGCATACATTTTGGGAGAGGAAGTTTGCTTCAAGTATGTGTGGGTGGAGACATGCAGGCTAACAAGGGTAGGGAGAAGGTTAAGTACTAACAGCAAGGACTTATTTTTTAAACAAGGTTTTTGGGATGTTAACAAATGACTGGGTCTAAAGGTAAAAAGGGCAACCCATTTATAATATCAACTGTTCAATAAAATAATACCTACCTTTCTTTTACGGCTGACAAGACTGGCTGTGGTGATGAGTTGAATGGCATAACGAAGAGATGTCTCCATGCCAATCCGTGTTAGAACAGTCAAGGCATCATCACTCATTTCAACATCTTCTTCTTCACACCTATAAAACAAATTCTATACAGATATTTTCCTTTTTATATCAAATTTTAGCTGCTCTAACCTCTTGCTGAAATGTGATTAAATGAAACAAAATACCAAAATTCAGACAGTAACATTTCTCAAATATTAAGGCCATAGACAAAAATAAATAAACTCAAATATTATTGGTATCCACTAAAATTAACATTTAAAAAAAATCTGTTGGATTAATAATTTTTTTTTGTTTAGATATTCTAGAATGTTCACATGATAAAAATACATATCAAGACAATTCTTCATAGGTCACCCTCTTAAATTTGGACAGGTCTACAAAGCATCGAATCCTGCAGAAATAACCTAAAATATGCTGTTTATGGTATGGGTTTTTTTTTTATGAATAAACAAAAACTTGTTTTTAGAAAAGACGACTTCAACTGAAGAGATACACTTTAAATGGGACAACCTCTTGAATTCACCAATTGAAGTATTAAATAGTTGTCATGATCAATTACAATTTGACTAGACATCTGCACATTCATGGATGCATTTCACCATTTTTGACAGTAACTGATTATGAAAACAGAATATTTTTACCAGAATATAAAGTAATGTAAACAGGCTGATGCGCAACCTAAAATGGCCTTTCATACAAAGACAGATTTTGGTAAGGTCCACTTTGAGTTGCTGACAATATATATTTGCTGTAATCATATTGATTGTCAGCAGTTAAAGCATTAAAAACACTACTTTGATGGGGAAAAGACCGACTTTCAATATGACAATGTATAGCCTCCAACAGCAGAGACTGAAGATTTCAGATGGGAAAACCCACTCCTCAGGCTCCAGATTTATCTTAATGGACTAGTTCTTAAAACATGAAAACGTGCAACATACCTTGTCAACATTTTCTTTTTATCCAAACTAAAGGGTTATCTGAAGCTTGTGAATTTATGAGAGAAGCAATTTTAATTAAACATGAATTTTGCAAATCACTAAAGGGATGACCTGATATTTCTTGCAATACACTTTTCAAATCTCAAAATTAAACTGCAATTACTTAATTACCATTGGCTAGATGAAGTTGAGCATGGAATGATTTACCTTAAACTGGAAAAGGATTTTCCTCCTAGAAACAAGAGGAATGCAACTGTGTGCAATTCTACTTCATACTTCTATCAGTGTGTTTGAGGAAAAATATATCTGTACTGACCTTATTTTAAGAATTTGTCTTATTTCTTTGTCTTCATAGGGACTAGTGGAAATGATGAGAAGACGGTCAAGGAGATCAATTGGTATTCCATGTGGACTTTGGTACTGGGTACCTCGAATGCTGTAGATAAGAAAAATAAAGAATAAAACATCTCTACATTTACTTGTATGCTAGTCATTCAAATCATTATCATCCTCTCTTGGAGCTCCAACCCATCAGATACCAGAGAATTTCTTTCTTTGCATAAGCTCAAATATATTAAATTTAAGATCCTCAAAGCAAAACTAATTATTAAACTATATTCAGATATGAAAACAAGACACACTTTTCCCTGAATATTCAAAGAAGAAATGAACATTCAGTTTCTACATTTCTTAACCTAACTTATTTAAATTTGCCTACTGACAAGACAAGGAGATATAAAGTGAAATTCAACTTTATGAAAATGCTTTTAAATAGGGAAAAAAAAAAAAAAAAAAACAGAAAAAGGAAGGCCAAATTTCACCTCCTTTTTCAACAACTTAAAATCTATTATGAAAGTAGTTTTGTCAATTTCTTTTTCTGCCACAGCTCCACAGTGGGCTGCCAAGCTAACATAAGGATTTTTTACAACTTTTTCAAAATGATTTGAGACCTAAAAATTTGGAATTTTATCTGGAGGTGTCCAAAAATGGCCTCATTTGTCTTCTAGTGACTATGTTGAGGCCACCACTGCCAAACCAGAGGAGGAAAATGTTTCACATACAAAGCTTTATGCATATGATTGAAACAAGTACCTGAACAACAAGAAAGTTTCTGAAATTGGCAAGGCTGAATTCCAGGATGAAGAATCAACATCTACATCTTCCCACATATCTCTTCAAGTTGCTTCAGCCATTTTTTGAGAGTGGTAAGATGCCCAAGCATATCTACAAAGACATTTGTCTTCTTCTAAAAGGTATTGGTGCAGATGTTGTTCTTCCAGATCACAAACTTGATGAATTCTGGAAAGAGCGCAGACCGGATATGAAGAAGCTTGAGGAACCACAGTTTGGTGTGAAATGATTATGTGGAATGTTTGAAGCTTACAACAACTCAGTTACTGAAGTCCTTTGAGTTACCAAATTTTCACAAGTTGAATGAAATTCATTTGACATTACATGATGGTCTTGATAGGAGTAGAGGTCATTCAATATTCACCCAAACAGGATTTGCTGAAACAACATTATCATGTACACAATTTGTGTAGAAAATTTGAAACAATCAAATGGTGAAATGATTTGGGGAAAATCCTTCCCACACATCATCTGCATCCTGTTGCTCTGTTATGCTACTGATGGGAAATGAAAGTAGAGAAAAATGAAATTGTAGCAGATATCCAGCAAGAAAGAAAGGACAGCCAGTTTGTTGTTCAACATTTCAACAAATTGATGATTGTCAAAATCAATGCAACCATGTCTATGGTAAGTTGCAGTCTTGAAACTGGTTTGGGAGGTGCATTTTGCTATGTACATACAGTAAGAAACAATGTAACAATGCTGACTGCATCTCATTTGGTTTCAAAATTCATCACTCTCTAGGACAGACACTATTTGCAAAACAGAGATTCATCATCCAGAAAATCATAAAATTAGTGATTACGATGTTCATGAAGGTGTCACCAGGATCCTATTACCACCAAAGATATTAACAACCTTCATCATCTACAAAATCTATTGAGACGTTTCGGTTGGATCTTTAAAATATGCTATCATGCAACTGCAACACATTATCCTTGGTCTGAAGCAAAACTTGATGTATCAAACCATGTTTCCAGAGCCTTGAAGTTTTGAAACAGACAAAAATGCAGATCCAGGCCAAAGTGAAAGAAGAAACATCAATCACTTTCAAGAAACCTGATCCAACATGTCATGGAGGCACATCTACAACAGGTAACATTGCAAATGTCATGCTTAACACCAGCAATAGGAAATTGATAACACTGAATTGAAGTCCAAAATTGACCAAATTATTCTCAACATGGCAGTCATTCTCACCATCATTAACTCCAATAAGAAGGTAATGGTTGCAGAGTACAAATAATTTTGTCGTACCACATCCCTTTTGGTCAAATCAGTTCCATGGATAGAGATTAATCCCAGTGCTCACAGTCATGAACGTATTGAAGAAAATGACAACACAGGAATGCTGAATTTTACAGAGGGTGGCATCAAGGCAAACAACAAGTTTCTGAGGCAGTATTGCATAAACTATGCAAGGAAAACTAGCCAGTTTGATAACCTATCAGATTGTATAAAGAGACTTTGGGACAAAAGTGACCCCATGGTGTTGAAAGCATGTGAACATTTACAGTGCTCCCATTGCAAAGCAAAAGGTCATATGACACAAAGTTGTGAAGAGTTGAAGGATGCACTTCACAGACATAACAATGAATATGAGGCATTGGTGTCTTTGTCTTATTGATTTCATTAAGTGTCATATTTGTGATGTACTGAAAAAAAATGTTTTCCCAAATATCTATTCCATGATTCATATTTGGTTAAATATTTCAGTGTATAAATATATCATTTGATATCTTAGATGGTTTTATTAAGGATTTTGGCCAAATATCTCCAAATTAAGGTTTTGGCTCATTTGGTATATTTTTAATATTTCAAATCAAGTTTGATTACGTTGCATGGATTTCCTCCTGTACTTCCAATGAGGTCCTAACCATCATCATACCCTTATTTATCAAGATATGACTAAAAATGCATTTTCAGGATTTCAGCCCGATATCCCCAAATTAGAGGTTTTTTAGGTCCCAGACCCCAAAATTTTGGGTATTTTCAATAAAATTGAGGTCTTGGTATTCCACTCTGTCATATGCTTCCAATGAGCACTTAGTCATCATCATACCATTATTATTTATTAAGATATGCCTATAAACATGTTTTCAGGATTTCAGCCCAATATCCCTAAGTTGGGGTTTTTGAGCCCCAGACCCCCAAAATAATCAAATTGATTTTTCTGTATTCCACTCCTTCATACACTACAAATGAGCACTTAATCACCATAAACAGATGAGGGGTTCCCAAGTTATAGGCAAATGTCCTCTTGACAATATTAGCCCACTGGGAGCTCATTCCAGAAGTGATCTGAAGGATGAAGTGACTTTTCATTGATAAAACTAAATTCTATAAAATAGAAGGGAGAGGTAATAAAAAAAAAAAAAAAGAAATATAGAAATTTTAGTTCTTAAACTGAACATAAAACTTATGTAACTACTCACCGTGTGATTCCCCTGTTGGTAGCCATGACAAGAACTGGAGCCATATCACTTTCAAGTGCACGGTTCAAAAAGGAAAAGCACTCAATATCCAACATGTGAACCTCATCAATGAATAAAACCTTTAAGAGGAAAAATAAATTAGAAATTATAAAATGAATTGGAAAATAGTGACTCATTCCTATTAATTTAATTAAATTGACTTCTGCCATAAATTGAATCAAAAAATGTGGCCCAAGAAATTGCTCCACCCAGTTTTTTCCGTGTTTTTTTTTTTTTACTATATCAAACCAAGTAAGGCGATAGTAGGATGTCAGAGGTTAATGGGAGTTACAGGATTCAAGAAGGTGTTGTAGTATTTTGAAGATCCTAGGTCACAGGGAAGCAGGAAAAGAAACTATTAGAATAGAACATACTGTTGGATTAGACAGATGCAACTGTGAGACCTGGTTGCCAATTTAGTAGCACGCATAAATTCATGTAGTCAAGGCAGAAAGCTCATCAGAACACTTTCCATGAAAATATTTGTTGAAAAATTAGAGGTAAGCCATGTCACAGAGACAAAATGACCGAAATTGAGACGCCAGGCCAAGATCAAATATATTACAGACCCTTTGAATTTTGTCAAGAATCTTGTGATATTTAGTAAAAGCAGCAGACCAAATTTGGCAGCAATATTCAATGCACAGACAAAATGGGGGATTTATAAAATGTGCAAGATGAATTCTTACAAGAGAAATTTTCTGGCATGGCACAATGAACCAACTGCCCTGCTTTTGTATTAGTGGAAAACATGAGCCCAAGAAGATACAAAGAGGTAATCTCCAGGAGGTTACTATCAACCATGCTGATGGTAGCCAGGAAAGGTTCTCAGTTTTACTGTATCATTAATTTGAAATGAATTAGAAGCATGTCTGTTCAACATGACTTTCAATGATTTGTTAGGAATAATTGAATTAAGCCAAATATTTGTCAAGAGACACCATAGCCATGAGCTTGTGGAGAAGGCTAGTATTCCAAACCCTGTTGGACACCTTTGAGGTATCTAAAACCACAGGCCAAGCTTTTGACAGTTCACTTTTAAGGAAATCATAAAAGAAGGGACCAAGTTTTATTGGGTGTGAGGAAGTTGCATTAAAAAGCAGAAAATTATTTCCTGTGGATTTTTCTTTCTTATCAAACCTGCTTGAAATTCAACTTGAACTAATCAAGTTGAAACATCTGACTTTTACAAATAACCTGAAATTACTGTCCTTACAAAATGCTGGTAGCAGACCCTTGTATAATCTTATATATAAAGTACAGTGTATGTGCGTGTGTGTCCAAGCAACTCCTCCGCTCACACTGGTCAGAATTCAATGATTGATAGCTCATTCAAAAGCCCTAAAAAAGTTCAGGTAACAATTTTCATTGAGCTCAGATTCAGTGTTGCCAGGTTATGCAAGGTTAAATATATATTAAAATTATACTAGCCATTACCGTTGCTTTCATGGTTCAAGGGGAGTAACTCTTATTTTTCCTTTTGTATCCAAAATTACAGTGCACATTTTATTATAAACTATCAGGCAGCATTTAAGCTAGCTTCTGTGATGGACTCTTAGTTTGGCCATCATCACAATAGCTAGGGAGAAGTAGATGCAATAGGCATCAATAAACTACATAAGAACTCAATTGATTGCTGCATTTAAGTATTGAATTAATGTTTAAGCTTACCTTTTAAATGTTCAACAATAATTCTTCTGTTGGCACTTAATTTAAAGATGATTTGATGTACGTAAATCTTTATTTTCCGTACAAACAATTATTTTTATTTCATGAGTGACAGAACGGGGGACAATTTATAAGATAAAATTAATATAGTATAAAAATAGAAATTAGAATTAGTTATACATTCAACATTTGAAAACCTATACTATGGAATCTATATGAATAAATGTGACATTGGAGCTCAATTCTCTGATGAATTCTAAGATTAAAAAGCTCCAGCTCTACTTTTACTTGGCCTTCAACAAGGTGGCATCTGTTTGTAAAACTTTCCTTAACTATAACAAACCAATTTATGAAAGAAATGTTCATTTAAAATTTTTGTTTCAAAGATTTCAAGTAGTGAATATATTTTACTTTGTGAGGTGATAGTGAGTGGGTGAAGCCTGCTAGTTTATTATAATGACCAGAATAAAATTAACTCTTCCAAAACTTGATTCCCTTTCATTACTTCTGGCTTTGAATTGCAAAATTTTGCAAGAATTCTAATTTATAGTATGTACCATAATAGTGGGAGTGGTACACAGGATCAATAAGCCATTGAGCTACCCACTACTCAAAATAAATAAAAATGCTTATACAAGAATTTATAAATACTTACTCCAGGAACAATTTCAGCTTTACCTTCTTCTCTCCACTCTGCTACTTTGGCATTAATCTGCTCCCTTACTTCACTTTTAATCTCACCTGTGTCACCTATAAAAGAGAAGCCAGAGAAAGGACATGTACAATATTTGAATGTAAGGAACCGTTCATAAAATTCAGTTGCCTGTTGTATATTTGATTTGTATGCAATAAAAAGCCAGGTGATACCAAAAATAAGATGCCTATGAAACATTTCTTTTTTTTATTTACATAGATTAAAGCAATTTATTATAACATATGTTAAAAAAATAATGATACAACTTGCAGAGAATCTTAGGATATGAAAAGAATTTTTTTTCTCCAGATAAACATGGAAACAGCAAGAAAAAGCAAACACGTCTCCCAGACATTCACTCACCTGAAAAAAGAGCAAGGAAGCCTTGTGTCCGGCTGTTGATTACATCAATTTCATGTAAGGTAACTGTGTGCACCACTTCTTTTCTCTTTTGCAGCTCACCTTCAGGACATTGAACAAACCTAGTCTGGAAAAAAAAACAACATACAAGTAATAAACATAATATAACATACAAGTAAATTTATCATGAGAAATCCTAAGTAAAGCATTATAAAGTGAATACAACAAAATGAAGAAATCTAAAAATTAAAAACTTCCATGAAGAAGAACGAATTGTTGCACATATTTAGATGAACATCTCTTTTTATAAACATTAATGAAGAAATATTTTTTATTATAAATTATAAGAATATTAATAAGTCATTGGTTTATAATTTAAGTGGTTAATTTCTATCAATACAATTTGATTAAGATTAACCCCCTAGAAGAAAATAGGGAAGCAAAAAAAAAGTGGCCAATAAAACCGTGATATACCTCATGGTGAAGTGATGAGTAATTAAGTCTTGAATATCATTACTACAATAGACAATTCAATCTTCACTAGGTGCATTATGATTATATATATTTATGTGTGTTGTTCACTCAACAAAAATCCAAGGCTGGAGAATTGCTATCAGAGGAACAAGCAAGTTTTAAAACCAGACAAAGTACAATGTAACAGGTCTTCAATTGTAGGATCCTCGTAGAGAAACACCTGCAACATCATTACACTACTTTTTTGCTTTCAAGATTGTGTATGGCATGACAGTCCTTGGCAAATCCTTAGAGAATTCAATGTAGATAACAGAATTGTCAAAGTCATCCAGGCCCTATATAAAACGATAGAAAACGCGTGCATTTGACAGTCTTCAGCGAAAGGTGGATGACTGAGGCGAGCTTGGTTCATTTGAACGTGGCTAGCCTTGATTTTCTCTTTTAGGTCAAACCTATGTCACATCGGGGTGGTTTCCTGTGGAGCCCTCCCCCTGGTTAGGTTAGACAAGCTTTTGTGTACCTAGTTAATGTGAGTAAATGTTCCTAGCCTGTTCCCGGCTACATCTTTTGTTATGATCCAAGTTGAGATTCCCAACCTCCCTAGTTTGTTTTTGGCCCCCTTTTATCTTGACTGGATCAGCTTTATATTTTCCCACTCCCTTAGCAAGAGAGCTTCTTGATTTTTTCCAAATGGGCAGAATACAGCGACCTCTCATTTTGAGGGTTGGACAGGCCCTACTAACATCAGTTATGTTTAGTTTATTTTGTGTTTATATTTAGTTTGTTTTGGGGTTCATTCCCACCCCTCTCATTTTTCATCACAGATTTTTAAGAATTTATTATCATTAAATTTTTATGGCATGGAGCGCATTTTGTAGGTCCCCCCTTGTGAGAATGCGGTATTATGGAGGATGGATTGATTGGTGATGGACGAGTTTTTGTGGTGAATAGGCAAATTGTAATGAGTGAATGGGTCGTGAATCAGATTAGCTAGGTATAAGTTAGTAAAGACCAGCCTCAACCCTTCATCGGCCTTGTGCCATAATTGTATTTATTACAATAAATAGCGTCAATATGAGACAGATGCATACTTTCACCCATATTGTTCAACCTATGAATTGTGCAAGAAAACTTGAATAATCACAATCATCTATCGGTAGCAGACCAGTCCATAACCTATATTTTGCAGATGACACTGACCTCATAACATGTAGTAACAGTGAGCTCCAGGACTTGACCAACAAACTTTTTGGAAGAGCAGGAGTATATGGAATGGAGATCAGCTCTGAGAAATCCAAAGTAATGGTAAATAGCACAAACAGTAACACTTGTATCAACATTACCATGAATAGGAATTCACTGGAAGGAGTGTCCAGTTTTAAATACTTAGGAATAATCTTGTCTAAAGATGGTACCTGCACACAGATTGCCAAAGCAGTGATAGCCAAATTGACAAGAATATGGAGGAGCATACAGACTGTACAAGTCGCTGGTAGTCTCCATTCTCCTATATGGACATGAAACATGAACACTGTTGGCAGAATCAGAGAAAAGGATCCAAGCATTTGAGAACAAATGCATGAGAGAACTCCTTGATATCTTCTATTGGGAACATAAAACCAATGAGTATGTGTGCAAAAGGGCTGAATGTTTTGTGGGACACCAAGAACCTCTTCTCACCACTGTCAAATGGCATGGGTTGGACACATTGCAAGGCACTGTTGAAGATGGATGTAGGAGAAGATACCAATGTAAAAACTGGCTGGATAATGTCAAACAATGGACAGACATGACTTTACCAGCATTGCTGATGGCTGCTGTTGATAGACCATTGTGGAGGAGATTTAGTGTGGCTTCTGCATTTGGATCCCCACCTAAGATTACAAAAGTGAAAGGGATGACAATGTTCACTCAACACAAAGCCCAAGAGCCACTTATGGTAGAGGGGGTTACTGAATGAGGTTGTTGAAACTAGATAACTTGATCAAGACTTGAAGTTGATCGTTGCAATTGGGAAGGAGGCTTGCAATATTTTGTTTCTGAGAAAAGAGCTGCAGGGACAAAAATAATTCATTAACCTAAAAACCTTGTAAATGTATCTGAACTTTGTCAAGGCTGGAAAGTGAGAACTGAACATTCTCAGCCCAGGTATGACAGTAATTTTTGGTTGTAAAAATAGAGTATGGCAGAAAGTGTTAAATATTTTCTGGATCAGTACAAAGAAGTAACCATTTATCCAGCCTCTTTTGCAACAGATGGTATATATGAATTCCATTAGAGATTTTATATCAGACTAAGCTAAACTTAGTAAATATTCATATGGCTGTGATATAAGCTTCAAGACTGTTGTGACCAAGTAAATGATTAAGAAATAAAAACCAGGGTTGCATATATATCATATATTAAATAGTAAGTACAGCAGAAGAGTATTACATGACTAGCGAGTGGGTGTCAGATGATCAGCTTTCAATCTACTCGACTGTTCTCCCAAGGTCTTCTCTCCTACTAATCTTATAGTAGGCAGAAGAGTCTAACGTAGACTCTTTAGAGGGAGGACACAACACCTCACCCACCTTTCAGTTATTTTTATTTTTTTATTACCACACAATACTTTTTATTCAACCAAATAAAACCCAAATAAACCCTTTTACACACAACCCCCCACCCAACAACTACTTTGAAAAAGCTATATACAGGAATTACGTTCAGTTTTACGACAAACATTTTACGCGTTTGCAACAGTCCCTTTTTATTAAGATCTCTATTCATTATTCCTAAATAATGAAAAATTGGATAAGTTTAATGGTAAATTATAATGTTAATCATTTCCAATAATCTAATGCGTATTGTGCTTTTTTGGTAATTCAAAGTTCATAAGTGAGAAGATGGGGTTTTTTTTTTTTTTTTTACTCATTCTTTTCCTTTTTCTGTTGACATGGTATGAAATGAAAGATGTTCAATATCTTTTTCTTTTCAGGTTAATTTCTAAAGGTTCCATTAATTTCCTTTTTCTTTTGGGCCTTCCGAGTTCTGGCACTGATTGCAGTATTGGAACCTCAAACATGTCAAAGACGACGTCCATAGTGTCATCTTCTATGGGATCCCTGTTGACTATGCTTTCATACCGTTTTCTAATTTGGTTTACATGATGTTAGTGTATAAACTTCGGTCCCTGAACCATGTAAATCACATTACCAATTTGTCTGCCTATTGTTCTTATCTCCCAGTGAGCTTTATTATTGTCAAATACAGGAAAAAAAAACAAACTTTTCACCAATCTTAAAGCACTTTATTCCTATTTCCCACTTTTGTTTCACTCTGAAGGAATTTGTCAAATGCCGAATATTTTTCCTGGCAAACATGACTTCTGCTGGTGTCTTGGCAGGAAGACCTGCAAAAACTGCTGTATAGCCATATTGGTGGAAGTACCTCTTGCCTTCCTCAGTGCTCTCTTGAAAGTGTCCACAAAACAATCTGCCTGTCCATTACTTCTTGGGTGATATGGCGCCATGGTAATATGTTCAATCAGGAATGACTGACACAAATCCTTAAATTCACAACATGTGAACTGTGTGGCATTGCCTGTTATGATACAATCAACAACTCCGAAACAGGGAAAATAGCGTGTGCAAAAAATTTACTGTCACCTCCGTGTTCAGCTTCTTACATTTCAATATTTCTGGCCACTTGGAATAACTGTCAACTACTACAGGATAGTAAAAACCATCAAGTGGGCCAGCAAAATCAATGTGTATCTGCAACCACAGATGGTCAGTTTTAGGCCAGGGAATGAATTTTATCGGGAGTTCTTTAGCAGAGAAAGCACACCCTTTGCACGATCTTACAGTGTTTTCAATATCCTTGTCCATGTTGGCCCAGTAAACAAAACTCCTCATCAAACTCTTCATTCTTGAAGTTCCCTGATGGCCAGCATGGAATTCCTTTAATGTTCTTTTCTGTAGTGTAGATGGGATTACTACTCTGTCTCCATACATTAGTATGTCGTTACAGAGTGAGTAAACTTCTGAGATATTTTGATCTTTACTATTTAGTTTGTCCTTTACTTCCTTTATGAACTCATCATTGGACACTTTGTCTATTATCTTATCAATTGTTATAGGAAGCTCCCTGACAGTATTGCACAAGGTACTTTTTATTTCGACCTCTGTTCTTATGGCAGCAATGACTGTGTCTTCCAGATGTTCAGTATACTTCGGTATCAATCTAGACAACCCGTCTGCATGACAGATTTTAGTGGATGGGAGAAACTCCATTTTGTAGTTATAATTGAGGAGAATGGTTTCCCCATCTTTGCAGTCTATTAGCAGTATGTGTTGGCAGACCCTTTTTTGATCCAAAGATAGTAAGGAGTGGACGATGGTCTGTCTGCAACATAAAGTACCATCCATGAATAAATCTATGAAATTTAGTCACTGCAAAAATGATTCCTAAGGCTTCCTTTTCTAATTGCGAGTAACCACCTTGCAGCTTGTAATAGCATCTTAGATGCATGGGCGATTGGCTTTACCAAGCCATCCTTTTAACTTGTGTAAAATGCATGCCTTGATGCCATAGGAGCTAGCATCGCTGGCTACAATGATGTCAAGGTTTGAATTGTAATGAGTCAGGAACAGATCTGATGTAAGGATCTCCTTTATTTTCTCAAATTATTCCTGGCATTTGGTTGTCCATTCCCACTATCTTTTCTCAATAATTCATAAAGTGGAGCTCTCAAACTGTGCATTCTTGGGATAGAAACATAATAATTGGCAAGACCTAAAAAAAACTTTTGAAGAGCCGACACATTTTCTGGTGCTGGCATATTCTTTATTGCCATTGCCCTATTTGGGTCGGGACGTCTTCTGTCTTTGTCAATTATTTGCCCCAAGTACTTAATCCTCTCTAAGAAAAACTCACACTTCCCGTCTTTTAATTTGAATCAGTAATCCTGGATTCTCATGAACACCTGCCAGATTCCTTGTGTTCCTTGATGCTCTCGCTTTTCATTAGGACGTCATCGAGATGGGCCACTGCAAAATCCAGACCATTTAACATCGTGTCTATGACCTGTTGAAAAATAGAAGGGGTGACCTTAACCCCGAACAGAAGTCTTAAAAATTTGTATAAACCCTTGTGGGTGTTTATGCAAAGGAGCTTTGAGCATTCCTCATCCACAGGTATTTGAAGATATGTCTTGTTCATAATCCTGCAGTGGGAACTTTTATGTCCCAATTTATCATAATTAAAACATTTTTCATCTTTAAAAGACAATCTCTATACCAATGGTCTTAACAGCAAAGTAACTTTATTATTTTTTGGTTGATTTTTTTTAATTTTTCTTTGGCATATTTTTTTTAATGTGAGCCACGCCACTCTGTTCGATATTTTTCAAATCCTCTCTGATGTTCATGAAACATTGGCAACTTGCTGTAATGTAACGTCAAACTCATTTTTCAAGCTTGTTGAGTACCCTACAACGTATTTTGGCATCTTTCACTGAAATCAACCCTGGATGAAAATCATACATTTAAAATTATTGGCACTTAACTCTGCCAATTTGGAGTCATCGCAGTGTTTATTGACTACACTCACGAAAGTAGTATAATCTTAGTCTTCTTTGTGAGTGAGATTCATGCATTTCCAACGCTTGTGGAACAGTGATGTTTTTGGACTGAAGAGTTCTGTTAATGATTGAACTGCCTCTTTAACTTTCAAGTCGCTGGTTTTCTTAGGGAAAATATAGTTAACAAACTTAGTATATTCTCCTGTGCCTAACTTCCTGAGGAGTAGGCGAACCCTTTTATGGTCAGCCCAACTTGCCTGCTCCATATTGTATAAGTCCTCGTAACATTTAAAGTACGAAGCGAATGTAATTTCTTCTTCAGAGGCAAACGTGAAGTTTTCAATAGCACTCCATATAGCATTTTGAGAGAACGCGTTTTCACTGTCCTCATTTTGGCTTTTGATAAATATATTATACAAGTGCCTTTGCTCATTCTGTGTTTGAAAGAGCATTTCTTCCAGTATTCTGCTTGTTCTCATTGGAATTTCTCATCTTTCTTGATATTTCTGTTCCAACAGTAGTTGTTCCTGTTGGTGTTTCATCAACTCTAGCATTACACTTTTAAATTTGTCCATTTCACTGCGTAAAATTAAGAAATGAGAGGAGGGAATTTTTTCTCTTTTCTGTCTGTTTGACTTGTATGATTATATCAGTGACTTGATGGAATGGAAAAAATAACAAGGTTCACCAACCTTCTTCCCAACCACTGAATTGAACTTGTAGAAATCCGATTGTTTTGAAATTTTTTTTTTTTTTTTTTTCCACTGTCAGTGTTGTAGAGTTTAATTAGAATTCCTTTCTTCACCACTGTTGTAGACACTGGCAAAAAATTTTTTTTTATGATTTAACATGAAATCCGTTTCTTCGAATCCTTCGTTGTGAAGATGTGACCAAGTAAATGGTTAAGAAATAACAAAAACCAAGGTTGCAAATATATCACATATTAAACAGTAAGTACAGCAGACGAGTATTACACAACTACTGAGTGGGTGTTGGATGATCAGTGTTCAATCTATTCGATTGTTCCCCCAAGGCCTTCTCTCCTACTAATCTTATAGTAGGCGGAAGTGTCCAACGTAGACTCTTTAGAAGGATGACCAATAGTTTCCATTTTTTTTCAGCATGAATATTTTTAATGTTTTATTATTAAAGAATTGAAAAATAAATTGGTTCTTCAGCTTGCAATTAAATAACAAAGAAATAGAAAACATCTTTTCCAAGACGGACTTACCTGTGGTCCCATAGCATCATAGTCTCGAGCACGTGTGAAAGATCTTCCAAGCTTTGATATCTTGCCAGTAGCTTTATCAATAGTGATAATATCACTAGAGAACAGAAGACAAATATACAGTAAATATCATTTTAACTTTTCATAAATTTAATATATCAAGACCATCTAATTTACTTTTAAGAAAAATGCTTTTGCTGAAAAGATATTGTAAATGAACAAGTTTGATAAGATGTATAATAAAAGATTAGTAATATCCAAGAAATAATGGCAAAGTTTAACTTTTGTGCCAGCAACAGTGTGTCAAAAAGACGAATTCTCCTTTGAAACCATTTTAATGAAACCCAAACACATAAAAGTGAATGTACAACAACACTATTAGATTATTTATAAGAATAATTTTATGTTTACAATATTCTAAACATGTGAACCAACAAATACAATGCAATGTTTATTATCATTCACTAATTTATAAAGAAATGAATATGAAAACAATTTCTTATTCATAAATTTATAAAAATTTACTAAATCATAAAAACATGTCACTGAACTACAATGCAATCTTTATTATTTACCCTTTTATAAAGTCCAAATTGACTGGCAATTTGCTAAAATTTTGCCAACCATTCAATTTTCAAATTTATTTCTTTATAAAACAATAAATAAATCTTTGAGAATGTTAGCCAAAGTCACATGGACCCACTATCCTGGAGGTCAGCATTAGCCATGTCGATTGAAGGCAAAAAGAGTTCTCTCAAGTGATTAAAAGTTTTGTTTTGGAGGTATTAAAATTAACAAGCCATTTCTTGTCCCAGTTAACAAGAGAATGTAGGTAATTTTTAAGATCAGCTGCCAATTCAACCTTATCAAACCAATTAGACTTACCATTAAGACAGGAGTAAATAGTTGTCATACGGATAGATACTGAATTGAGAACTGATGACATCAAGAATATCGTTGACGAAAATTACAAACAATGTAGGTTCAAGAATAGAGCCCTGGGGGAGATCCACATTAATATAAAAAGATCTAGAAGAGTGGGCATTCAAAACAACTTTAATATCATGATTTAATAAGATTAAATCAAATGAAAAGTTCTTCCACAAATATCATAATCCTTCAACATGTGAAGAAGACCAGTATGCCAAGTCCTGTTAAATGCCTTTGAAACATTTAAAGCATCAGCTTGAGCTTCACCATCCTCATCAAAAGCTTAAGCTTTCAGCAATAAGTATTAATACATTGCCAGTTGACTTAAGTGAAAGTGTATCTGAAAAAAAAAAAAAAGATCCTTAACTAATTCAGCGTTAATTGGAGCCTCTAGTACTTTGCCAAAATGAGGTAGAAGGTTAAGTTAAGACAGTTTGTCAGAGTTCTTAAAGACTAGAACTACAGAAAATTTAATTTCCAACAAGCTTGGAAGAAATACAGCAAGACATTTATTGTAGAGTTTAGAGAACTGGAGCCAGTTCAGGAGCACATTTCTTAATGATGATTGCAGGGATACCATCAAGTGTGTGTGTATATATATATATATATATATATAAAATGAAAAAGCTACCAGAAAACAATCATACATACCCTGCTTGAACTTTTTCTTTGGTCAGAGATTCAATCATTTTTTGCCCCAAATCATAAATAGTTTCCATTTCAGTTGTCTTTAAAGTCAATTTACCAACCTTGGCACCCTGAAAAAATTAAATTAATGAAATTATCATCTACAGATACTGGTGGGCTGTTTAACTCCATGTTATCTAACCACATTAGGAATGTTTATTTCTACATTGTTTGATACTTCATTTTCTTTTAATACGAACATTAAGTATAATTATCATTCTTAAACAATAGCATAAATTTCATTCTCTATTCAAGAAAAAAAAAAAAAAAATGAAACAAAAAAGCCAAATGAATAATTTGTAACTCACAGTCCCAGTGGCTGGTCTGTCAATCTGAATCTCCACAACTTCACCTTCAATAATTTCTGTTTCTTCTCTGGAAAAAAAAAAAAAAAAAAAAATTACACTATTTAATAAAGATTATTTTTTCAGTTTACATGAAAATTGCTAGGGTCTTTTACAGAAGTGAAGGTTTATAAGAAAAAGGAGTTGTTGATGCAATCCTGAGATTAAAGTTAAGATTTATTAACTAAATAAATCAAAATATTTCTCTTCTGCTTAGTCATTTTTCTTTATTTTTTTTTTTAATTCTCTGGCTGTACAAAAGTTACAAAATCATTCATTCTCAAGACCAAGCTTATAGATAATGAATATTAAATTAACAAGCACAAGTTGCAAATGATTTTCTTTTATTAAATCAAATATTGGATTACCTACAAGTATGTTTTATGACTTAGAATTATCTGATAGACAAGGTAACATGTGAAACAACATGCAATGGGTAGAAGAGGAAATGTAGGAATAATTACACATCTGTAACATCCCAACAGATATGAATAAGAAATTAATACACAAATAGATAACACTAATTAATAATCCACTACTATCACAACCTACTTTATTCTAACTCCAATAGATTTGCGGAAAGCCTGAGTCAGAGCTTCAGTTTTACTCATTTCCAAGGAAAAGATTTCACTACCAGCAATACTTGTAAACTGTGTATCCACCCCAAGAGCTTGAGCCATACCTTTAAAAGAAAAAAGTTAAAACAGAATAAATAAAATAAAATGAACATGGTCTTTTGACAAAATTTAGCTAAAATTTTAACAAAAATGAAAACTAGTTCAAATACCAATAATTCCTCATCCCAGAAATTCAGAGAGAATAAGGTTATTGATGATTTTGCCAATCAAATATAAAATTTTTCTTTGCCATAAAAACCTTAATGAGGATGAATGATTCAAATCAAAGTAATATTTAGTTAAACTTCAGATGCAATAAATTATTTATAAAGTAAGAATTTTTGCAATCATTATATATATATATATATATATATATATATATATATATATATATATATATATATAGTACCCATCAGAAAATGAGGAATTATTTATACAAAAAACCCTATTGCCTAAGATCAAGGTGTAGTATCTATGGACTCCATGAAAATTGTTAGACAAAATACATACATACACACTTAAGGTGCTACTCAAATGTTCACAAAATCACCATCATGGAAAATTTTACTTCGTTTCTACCATCCTCTTCAAAGTATAAAAATAACAGCAAAAGTTATTCAATTCAATTTCCCCAAACTTTTTGTTAGTACCTTGTAGTCTGTGTACACACACACACACACAGAGGTGCTTACCATGGTGCAACAGTAAACAAGTTTGTTTACAAACCAATTCACTAGTGTCATGAGTTCAATACTTACAATTGCCACAGTTTCAGCCTGGTGTAAGACAAAACTATTCTTATTAAATAGCTGTGTGTGTGTGATATATATGTATACATACACACACAAATGTTAATGAAATACATGCTTACATAATTAGTATTTCATTTGATTTTGTAAATATTTCAATGTTTATTCAAAAGAATCCTAAATATAAACTATATGATAATAATCTGATATCTATTTTTGAATGTGTTACTGTAACACAACAAAAGCAGATCAAAGCAAGATTTTTGTTAGGGCAATATCTTTAAATGCTCTAACCTTGAAGATTAACACAATTTTCTATTTCTAGTCTAATTTGCAACTTAATGGTATAAACATGAGAACAACATTCATATACACCCCAATAATAATCTAATTTTTATATATTTGTTACAAAAGATGGAAAGAAACAAAAACACTACCAATTGCCTCAGAGTCTGTCTATATTTCTGAGAAAAAAGAATAAAGGGTTCAGTTCGAAATTCCAACCACCTGTAGAAGGCCGGAGCGTACAACGGCCAAAACGTTGTGATAAATATGGCGACAAAGATGAGGAAAATAATCCGAATAATGTAAATAATTACCAATTGCTATGTAAAATAATGATATCTTTATTTTGTAAGGAAAAAAAAAAATTACATTTTTGTATAGAAATAAATTTTTTATAAAATAATTTTTTTGCACAAGAATCATTATTTTATGAAAAATTATTAACTTTTCATTTCTTTTTCTCTTCCATCATAAACATTTCCACACTTTACTACAAAAACAATTTTTTTCTTCTAAATTATAAGCTTGAATGTTCAAAAATCATTTCATATGAGATTCCTGCTGATTAGGGATTAGCAAGAATACAAGTAAAGCTACCTTTAAATTTTAAGTATAATTGGTTCTTGGCTAATTACAGAGTAATATTGATTTTTATATTTATATATTTTATGGCTTATCAACTCTTTGTGGTCATTTAAATCTGAAACATTTTTAATTCGATAAGAATAACTCTTTTCCAAATGAATATTGCATTAACAATTTGGGGGATAAATATATATTACCTCATGTAATTACAGAGTAGTTCCTCTTTATGCATTTATAAATATATACATAGGATATGATTCAACATTGACCTTAAGGGCCACCTTTGGCAGTTTTTAAGCAAACATTTACATAATGTTATAATATTCTAAGTTATCTAAAACAAAATCAATTGTTGCTAAAACTTGCATCAATTCAACATATATTGGCAGCTTGCAGAAATCATCAATGTTTAATGCAGTCACATTTTCTTCTTTTAAATTAAAATTAAAAAAATCTTTAGATCATGACACACATGCTACATATGAACTGTAGAGCAGGAAGACAACTTTCTTATGCAACAAACTACATACTATTTATGATAAAACATTATACAAACTGAATTAAGTTTTGTTTGTCAAAAGCTTATGTTAAAGAACAATGTTCTGAGGATAATGTAAACAAACAATATCTTATTTTGATAATCAAATACTAATTACTCACAAGCATGTTCTTAGAATAACTTCATTCTTTAGGTTTTAAAATTCTAACTTGGACATGCATGCATCTATAAAATGTTACTTAACTAGATTTTATTCAAAAACACAGAGTGAATAACACTTAAGAATAATTTTTTTTTTTCATTTCATCCTGTCTGAAGAGCAGACAGAAAAACTTACCCATAGCAATAGCAGTTTTTCCAGAACCTGGCTGACCAGCAATGAGGATGGCTCGTCCAGCAATTTTCCCTTCCTACAATCAAAAATTATAGACAAAAAAAAAAAAAAAAAAAAAATTCCAAAATTATGAATATAATCAGTTCAAATGCTTTGGGGTATTGACAGAAATTTTGAATGATAGAAGTGTTTTGTTTTTCACATCAAAGCTAAACCAATGAAATCTCACAAAAATGCCTCTTTATTTATACATGTTAAATGATTATAAAATAATTATATTTTTGAATTGAGTATTTGCCGAACAACTTTTTCTAATAAAAAGTCTGTTGGTCAATGCTAATAAGGTAGGTGCATACCTCAAAACACTCACAAATGAAGGTAGAAACATTTGGCTTCTAACCCAACTAAAAGACAAAATTGAGAATTGCAAACCTGTATCTTTCAGAATAAATGAGTATGCATAGGTGAGTAAATTCCATAAAATCACAGTTACTAAAATATCTCCTGTTGATGTCACACATCCAATCAAGTCTAAAGATTGAAGAGGAGAGTATTTTATATTAAAATATAATGAGAGCATTTGCCTTTAAACAAACTCTCTTCAATTATAACAAAAGAAATAATTACCTTCACTGGTATTAAAAAATTGTCAACTAAAAAAATGTTATGCTCCTTAGATTTCATATAACCTAATCTGAAATAATTTTTTTTATATTTTGAACACAATCCACAGTCATTTGCATACAATGAGACCATTTTACTTTGTTCATTGAGTATGCCAACTAAAATAGAATTCCTAAGTTGAAAAGCAATTAATACCTTTTCATGAGAATGACATCCAAATTTTATATATTTAAAATAAAGATTTCACATGAAATTGGGTTTTCAATTTTCCAACAATGTTATTTAACAAAAAACTGAGATGCACAAAGGGGGGGGACAACTCTGCATTGAGAAAGAAAATGAAGGAAGAAAACTAAAAGAAAATCCCAAGTTCGACATACAAGAATAGCAACAATCGTCAAAAGCAATGTCTTTATGTGTCATGTCATCTTTTCAGTTATGGCTTCATTATATAAAGACTGTTAGCTGTCTTAATGTGTTTGTCACTACCCACAATTCCATTTTCTTTTAAATTACCTTTATCATTTCCATAATGATACCAGCAGCTCTTCGTGCTTTGGCCTGTCCAACCATTCCCTGGGAAACATCCCTGGCTTCAAGACCATCATTAAGACCAAGGCCACGAATATGGGAATGGGCACCTGAAATGGAAGAAAAAAGATGAACAAAATACTAAGGTTATCAAAAGTTGTACTAGGGAAAAAAAATTGCATGATAGAAAAAAAACAAAATATGGTAGAAACTTTCTTTTTTTTTGTTACTGATAACAAGATTTCAAATAACTAAACCAATCTCAGAGATGTTTTCATCCAGTTCTAATAGGGAAAAATATTTTTAGTTAATTCACATCACTACTGCAGAAATATTCTTTAATATCAATATTTAATATCATGGTAAATAAGTAATTCTTAGGTGAAGCATTGGCAATCATTAATTTTCAATTCAGTGACCAGAACTTCTTTCATTTCTGTTGCTTCTTATCACAATGTCCATTTTCATCTTATGCTTATTTAAATGGTCATAGAATTACACTCAGCTCATACATGGTGTATACTATCTCCCAGTAGGAATGCAAATTCAAGTACTCATCCATAACTATCTTTAAAACATTACTTATTCTTGCTATTGCAATAACAGAATTCTATGAGGTTAATACTGATTTCAATTATTCTATCAATATTACTGCCTGTGTATAGGGAAGCTAAATGATAGGGTATGTGTTACAATTCTTGGGGAATCCATAAGTGAATCAATGAACAAAAGGGAAAAAAAAAAAGAAGACAAATTAGATTTTAATTTTCAAATAGGTAACAGTCTTAACATTAGATCAAATCTGTATTTAAACCTTATCCCACTATGATATTAAGTGGCACATGGCCTTTTTAATGTAGAGAAAGAACAAAAATTGCAAAGTTCTACCAACATATTGCCAGGTGTCAGAGAATAGCTCTGACCCTGTCTCTGTTTGTGCAATAGGGAAGTAGTGCTATAAAAGAGTGAGGATGATCTCTACCTGTTGAGGCATGTAACTTCATCCTCAAAGAGGCTTGAGGCAGTGATAAGTGATGTAGGGTCTTATTTTGGGGTCAAGAGAAAACTAAAGAAAAAAAATTGTCAATAAAATTTGAATGGAGAATAGAGTAATCTGAAAAAAATATACAATCAAAAATGTTAATAAGTTAGGAATAGGCTGGGTTTTGAACCAACAGCTTATTTGATAAAATGTATTAAACCATTCACAACTAATCCCTAATCTCAGTGTTATAGACAAGCGTATGGTTGCAAGAAAGAAATACGACAACAGTAGAAATAGATTTACGTGGTTTATTTCAACAGGAACGTAAGGGTTTAGGACAGCTACCTTGGTGTGGTAAAGTTCATAAGCCGGCTTTCGGATCTAGGTCGATCTCTCATAGTAGTTCACACATGTTGACGGTGGTTGACGCTCTCCTGCTGACAGCTGGTAAACGTCTCCTTTGTGGCCACCTGTTGACTCCTGCTGAACTTCCCTGTGACCCCTTTTATAGTGTTTTTTTATGGCTTAACAGGCTTGAGAAACGAAGCGAGTATAATTAGGAGGGAAGCATTTTTATTGGACGAAAAATAGAGCACTTTAATTATTATTTTATTTTTCGACCAGAAACATTTGTAAAGAAAGTTAATGGTCATTTTGTGACGGGGCTCTTGAGTAGTTGCCTGTAAATCAGCCGAGATATGTCATTTTATTTTATAACATCAGCCACTTCAACTCTACTTTCGCTTAAGTATTGACATGATTAACAGAATCTGGTTAACTTTGAACATGTTGCTAAAAGTTATCAAATGAACAGAGCTACACTTGTTTAAATATTTTTCACCCAACCCTTACTTCCTTAGGAAAAATCTTGGTCAGGAAATTTTACAAATTAAACTCTTGTCTGTCACCAAATAGTTGTTTAGTTTTCAAACAAGAAGCATACTCAGAACCAGCAAAATCTATGAGTAATTTAATGCATCATCTTGTTGACATCCATGCAATAACAACAAAAGCAATAACAACAAAATTGCAATGGTAAAAAATCATTACTGAAACATTAAGTCCCAAAAATTCATACACTGAGGTTCTGAAGGACACATGGCCCAGTGGATAAAAACATTGGTTGGATACAATGAACTATACCTGGCTACTGCAGTGGTGAACAAAAAGAGTTGTGATAATGCACATGGAACAATCTACTCCAGTAATGAAATAAAGGGTTCAGTTCAAAATTCCAATCACCTGAAAAAGGCCAGAGTCATATGGCAACAAAGAGGAAGACAACAGTTCGAACAATGTAAATAGTATAAATAAGAGCTATTATAAAAAACAAATTGTGGAGAATCAGGATTGCCCAAGGACACCACACATTAATTGATTTTTCAGGTTATGTGCAGAAACAAAATAAACTGAACTTAGTCAAATCAAAATTATAGCAGTATTTGCATTTAGAAAAATTCATCCTGAGCAAATCTGACAGAGCTTACTGGGGAGGAGGAGGGTAAAAATGTTCTTGAATCATGTTTTACTATGCCTCAATTATTGTAAAAATTAGAAAAGTTCCTTCTTGACAGTTGTAACCAGCCATTTAAAATATTATGACCTTTGCTACTAGATATGATTGCTTTTAGTGGCAAAAAATTCAGTTTGTATTTTGATATTTTGCAAAAATCACTTAGACAGCACATTTTATATATATTTTTATGCTCACTTAAATCAAAAACCCTGTTATCAGAGATCACACCCAGATTTGTTTCAATTTAAATCTAATCCTTGTCATATTGCACAAACAGGATTTTAATATACACTCTGTAACACACAATGCTTCCAAATTTTGTTTAAAAAAAAAAATAAATAAAAAAAAATAAAAAAATAAAAAAAAAATAAAAGGAGCAAAACAAACTTGAGAATAATACTTAAGCATAATAATTGAAGAGAAGAAACCACTTGACTATTTGATACATTGTACTTTTTATTTTATTCTCTTAGTTATTTCACCTTTGTAGTAGTTATAATGAAGACCTTTTTCTCTCTCCAATCAAAGCAGGCACATATTCATCTATGTAGTAGATTCTATTAGAGTCACTCACAATTATCTGAGAAGTAACAGCTTTGCTAGTATATTTTGATCAAGGAACTCACCAATACGTTCAATTCTGGTAACCTCACGGATTTCCTGCACTTTCTGGGCTGTGGGCTGCAAAAGAAAAACAATCACAAACTCTCTTGTCAGTTTATTTAAAAATAGCAAAGGATAGTCTTTTTATTTTCTTTATGAGTACAGGATTCATTTGATAAAAACATGATTCTTTACTCCAATGGGGTTAACTATTCACTACATTTTAATGGAATGCATTTAATATTGGAATCTGAAGTGAACCTCATTTAAATGGAATCTGGGTCAAAATTAATTTCTCTCTTTTGATGGCTGAGCCACACTATTTTCTACAAGGATATTTTTTATCCTAACTAGTGCTTTCAATAATTTAAAAATAAATCACCGAAACAAGTTTTTCAGTTTTATCCCAAGCTCATTACAAAGAAATGTCAATATACACAATTAGATTTATAAAGATTAACAATAAAAAAAAAAAACTACCTAAATATACAGGAATATAGGTACCTCCACTAAACTCACAATACCTAAGGTTTAAATTGATTTTTAAAAATTAAAAGGCTTTCTTGAAGCTTTCATTGAAAGCTAAAGGATTAAATTTATTATTTCCAGTAATCAAAATACTCTGGTGTATTTCAAATAGAAATTATATTGATTGGAACAGATTTTTTTTCATTCTAAAATAGCTGATTAACACCCCCCCTTTAGCCGTCTTTCATCACAATGTAATTCTCTGTATCAAATTTTTTTTTCAGAAAATGGAATATACTTTTCTTAAACTTTATTTGAGGAATATTAACTTATTTAAAGTATAATTAATCTGATTTGAAAAATTTTACTTTAAAATAGCAGAGAATTTTTAAAGCAAACAGTAGCAGTGACTGTAGCCATGTTTATGGCTTTGACAAGGTGATGACAAATTGATTGTTGTTCTACAGTGATTTAATCTGTCAAAAATAATTTAAGAAAATGATGTGAGTGCCATTCTTATATAATTCAGCAATCTTAAAAATTTAAGAAAAATATTCTCCGTAACTTAATACTTTATTAAATTTCAGAAGTTTCAGCTTTAAATTTAATATAGTTAACATTCTTATTTTCTGATAATGTTGCATATGGTCTACTGCACTTACAAAATCAGCACATTTATATACTAATAAAAAAAATTCAGAATTATTTTTAAAATCTTGGTTCGTGATGCTTTTCAATTTTTGATTAGTATAGTTTTCACTTTATAGTAATGTCACCTAATGGGATCAAAGTAATGAAGAAATTTAAAGGACTTGAAACTTTATAAATTAAAAAAAAAAAAAAAAAAAAAAAAAAAGCTATTCTTGTAAAAATTCATTTTTCATCAAAAAAATTTTTTTTCTTCAGACAATAGTGTCCTTATATCTTAATTATAAATTCTAATTAAATAATGTTATAGTTTTATTGCATTTTTTATTTTACAATTTGGAGCAGATTTTGCAGAAATTGTGTTCCTGTTTGAAAAAAAAAAAAAAAATATTTACATTTTCCAAGGAGACCTGCTTTTTAACTAATAAAAAAAAAAATTTTTTTCAGATCAAAATTTAATTTCTCAAAATTCCATAAAAGAAAGTAAGTGGGAGTAACAGCTGTAAAAAAAAAAAAAAAAAAAAAAAGTTTCAAAAATAATTCAATTCATTTGTGAATAAGTCCTGAAAATCTCATTAAAATCTGGCAATTACTTGATTTTTTCAAGAATTCCCAAATCAATGTGTTTTTCAACCGGGTAAAAAAAAAAAAGAAAAAAAAAAGAAAAAAAGTCACTAAAATTCTCATAGAAATCTTTGGCCCACCACTGACAAAGAAAAAAAAAATTTTAACTAAAATTTCAAACATGCTAGAAAGGATTAAAAAAGTTATAAAACAATCAAAAAATACTTTGGTCTTTCTCGTGATAAACATTTTGACGTTAATTTTTGTGATATCAAACACTCGTTGCTACTTTTGTAATGTCAACAAATACTCGTCATCACTTTCATAATGCTCATTTCTAAATTTAACTAATTTTATAATATTTTAACAACTTAAATGTAAAAATCTATTATAATTAAGAAATAACAAATAATTGTATTAAAAATTCATTTTTCATCAAAAAAATTTTTGCTTTCAGAAAATATTGTCCATATTCATAAAAGCAAATAAAAGCATTTGAAATTAAATAAGATCTTTGTTTTATTGAGTTTTGTATGTTACAATTCAGAGCTGATTTTCAGGTAGAGAGGGTCCAATTAAAAAAAAAAAAATGATTTGCATTGCTCAAAGCCTTGTACTTTTAACTATTGTAATCACTAAACCCAATGCGATTGAATTTCTAGCGTTTTTATAAAATTAGTTTGGGGGGGGGTAATAAATATTAAAAAAAAATATTTCTGCCATGACTTTAATAAAAAAAAAAATATTTATAATAATTTCCATCATCTGTGAATAGTTCCTGAAAGTTTCATTAACATCCAACAATTATTTTTATTTTTGCAAGATTTTCCAAATTAATGTGTGTCATACCAAAAAAACGTGCTAAAAATTGTCTATGTTATTTTACTAGTTCTGGTGATACAAAGAGAAACAAGGTTTTTTTTAATCAAAATTTAGAATGTTCTTTGGTCTTTCCTCTTAATAATAACACAAGCATTTAGACGATAAAATTTTGTTTTCGGCAAGGTTGGTGTCTTTTTTTTAGCGATTTCGTGGAGGTACCTATGCTAACTGCTAAAGGGTCAACCTCTGTGAAATAAAAGGGCACAAACTGTTGAGCAAGTCAATACAAGTTATGGTTGTTGCCATAGAAACGAGAAATGTTACTACAACATGGGAAGGACTTCAGAACTGTTGAGAATTCGAATATTTCTTTTTAAACTTGTGAGATTTATAGTGAAAGTGTCATTTATTTATAACATTCTTTTTTGGCAGTAACTTATAATAGTAAGTGAAAACAAAATAATTGCAGTTCAGTAAATAGTGCTAGATAGATTTCTTACAAAAAACATGTGACACACAGCAAGGTGTGGGTAATTTGGCAAGTATTTAATAATTTTGATGAATCAAGTTATCTCTCACCACGTTTACATTTTTAATTCAATCCATTACTTTCAAATCTTAATGGAAAATGTTTATTACTAACATTCTACTTATTGATTTAAAAAAATCTACCTATCTAGCACTATTTACTGAACTGCAATTATTTTGTTTTCCTTTACTATTCCAAGTTACTGCCAAAAAATAAAGTCATAAATAAATGAAACTATCTATAAATCTTACAAGTCCTTTAACAAAAAAAAAATTGAATTCTCAACAGTTTTGGAGTCCTTTCCACTTGTATTGACTTGCTCAACAGTTTGTGTCCTTTTATTGCACATAGGTTGACCATATAACAGTTAGCCTGTCTAAAATTTTCCTACACACACAAGATGATAGTATTCTGATTAACTTTATTAACTTACAAGTATCTATAGTTCAATTAATGTAATGATTTCAGATGTGCTAGTTAATAAAATATATTACTTCTATCAAAAGAATCACATTTCAAGCATTTACTGTACTGACATACAAAGAAAATTATTTTCCTTTTATTTAGAATTGTGGAACCTTAAAATAGAAGATACCATAAATATTGACTATCAATGCCTGCCTGATTGATATGGTGTGAATATAAGGATGACTTATAAAACCTGCCAAAATAATTAATCTTCAGTACCAAGCCAAGTGTAAATACATGATGCAGCAAAATTATTAATGCTAATTAATTATAAACAACTTTTTCAAACACCTTAAATGTTCATGGTACCTTTTTAAACATATTTTTGTGTACAAACCTGAAAAGTAACATTTTTTTTTCACAGGTAAAATGCAAGATGTTTCAAAACTTTGCAAATTTTGTTTGCAAAAATGTCAACCTGGAAGAATAGAGGATTATTGTAACAATTTTATGAGTGGATTTAAAATTTATTATTCCAAATACGCTTGAAATTTTGAAAAATATTATCTTCTCTTAATATTTCATTAAAAATAAAAAAAAAAGTATTAGTGATATAAAGTTTTTAATAAAATATTTTTTGAAAATATGAAACTGTAGGCACGTCCACAAAAACGCTAAAATATCAGCATACCATAATGAAAACAGTTTTATCATCAAAATCTATTATTATTAAGAGGAACAATCAAAGTATTTTTTTGATTTAATTAAATTTTTTACTCCTTTTGTCTAAAAAGGAGTAAAAAATTTAATTAAATCAAAAAATTTTCATTAAAAAAAAAAAAAAAATTGTTGTTTTTCTTGCATCAGCGATTGTACTCACTTTCAGCATAGCAAATTGTCTTTTTTTTTTTTTGCAGTGATAAACATTAATTTAGAAATTCTTTCAAAAATCAAATAATTGTTGGATTTTAATGAAATTTTCAAGATTTAGTTTCAAATGAATGAAATTACTTTTATTAAAAAATCTTGGTTATATATATATATATATATATATATATATATATATATATATATAAAATATGTGTGTGTGTGTGTGTGTGTTTTGCAGCTTTTTACGTAATTTTATGAAAACTTGAGAAATTCAATGAAATAATTTTTAGTGACTATATTAGTTAAAAGCAGAATTCTTTGAGGAATTTAAATCACCAATTTCTTTTTCAGAATTGGACCCAGTCTTGCTGAAAATCTGTTCTGAATTGAAAAATAAAAAAAAACACAAAACTAGGTACCTCCAATAACTGGGTATATTTAATGGTTTAAATGAATTTTCATCAACGAAAAATCTTTCTTGATGCTTTAATTGAAAGCTAAAGGATTAAATTTACTATTTCCAGTAAGCAAAATACATTGTAGTGTATTTCAAACAGAAATTCTATTGGTTGAATTAAATTTTCTTTCAAAAATAAAATGTACTTTTCTGAAACTTTGAGGAATATTAAATGATTTAAAGCATAATTAATCTGATTTGAAATAAATATTAAGTTGAAAATAACAAATGGATTTTTAAAATAAACATTAGTATGATTAAGTGCTTGTCAGCACCTTGTAAATTACCTGATGAATGATTTACAAGGTGTTGACACTTTATTGTTCTTTTTTTTTTTTTTTTTTAAGCATTGTGCCCCAAGCAAGGCGTGAAGCCACTAGGATGCAGGGGGTTTGGAGCAAGAGCAGATAAGAGTGATAGGAGAAAGGAAGAGGAGAAGGATAGTGGGTAGATCAAGGTAATTGGAGATGTCGATTGACATTACATTTGAATAGTTGGAGATTATAGCTTTCAGGGAAACAGTAATTGGGGAGGGTGTTCCACTGGCGAGAGGTGCGAGGTATGAAGCTATTGGAGTAGAAGAGACGGCTACATTTGAAGGTTTCTACGGTGTAAGGGTGAGAGCGGGATGCCAGCCTCGTAGGTCGCTTGAATTCATGGAGTCTGGGAACCAGAGAGAGCAGCTCATCAGAGCAGTTACCATGGAAGTATTTGTAGAAAAGACAGAGAGAGGCGACGGCGCGTCTGTGAGAGAGTGACTGCAAGCAAGACGCTAGATCAGGGCCAATTAGATTACATATCCTTCTCTGGATCTTGTCGAGAACTCCGAGGTAAGCAGAAGGTGCTCCAGCCCATATATGGCAGCAATACTCCATGATGGAGATTTTATTAAAACATAATTTAAGAAAATGATGGGTGAACACTTTTTTATATAATTATTATGCATTCAGTAATCTTAAAAATGCTGGAAATATTTTCCATAATCTAATGTTCGGATTGTTGACTATGTTGTGTATGGTCACCAATACCTTCAAAATCAGCATGTCTAAACACATACAAAAAAATTTGTATAAATTATTTTAAAAATCTTTTGCATGATGATTTGTATTAAGCTTTTCAATTTTCACTTAGTAAATATAGTCTTCACTTAACCTAACAAGGACAAAGTTTAGAAGAATTTTAAAACTTTATAAATAAATAAATAAATAAATAAAAAAAATGAAAATTATTGTAAAAATTCATTATACACCAAAAAAATTTTTTCTTCAGACTATAATGTCCTTAATATATATTATTTATAAAAGCAATTAAGAACCTATCTGATTAAACAGTTTTATTGCAGTTTTTATTTTACAATTTGGAGCAAATTTTAGAGAATTGATAAAGAATTCAAAAAAATAATTAATTAAAATAATAATTTGAAGTACAATTTTTTCTAGAAATTTCATGAAATTTAGTAAGTGGGGGTAACAGCTGTAAAAAATTTTTTTACCAAGGTCTTCTAAAAATAATAATTTCAAAAATAAATTCATTCACTTGTGAATAAGTCCTAAAAATGTTATTAAAATTCAACAATTATTTGATTTTTGCATGACTTTCTAAATTAATGTGTTATTTTATCAGAAACCAGGCACAAAAATTTCAATTACCAGTTCTTTTACACCACTGACACATGAAAAAAAAAAAAAAAATGCTACTTCATCCACGTGACCAAGGGCAGACACTATGACCTGACCTCTTTTTCATTGCATTGCCACATACACTTCAATTTAAGTTCATTTATTTTCATGATAGACTTAATGACTTTTTAGTTCTTTCAGTGTTACAAACCTAGTCGGAATACACTTTGTGGATATCTTATATTTCATAGCACATCTCAGTTTTTTTTTTTTTCTTGAGATTTTTAGTACTTTGCAGGACCAGTTAATGTTTACACTCCCTTTCAATATAACCCAGCGACTTCTTACCAAACTCAAGGCAGAGGGCAAGGAGGAGGAAAACTTCAGGCCCCTGTCCATTATGGCCAGTGTGCTTGGACTGGTTATATATTGAGTTACATTCCCATTTATTTTTGTCTGCCAGCTGGATGCTAGTTGAGCTTTCCTATCCTTTCTTACTTCCAGCACTCTTGCCTTTTATTTCTGGCCACCACAGACTGACTCCCAGCATTCTTGGCCTTGCTACTTCCAGCTATCATGGACCCTTATCTTCTGACATCACAATCTCAACCTAACTCACCTGATTGATTGGGTTTAATGGATCTGCTTACAACAACCCTGAACTTCTGGCTACACATAGATCCCTGCTTCCAGCTTTCCTGTCAACTTACGTGTATCTGTCTATATTTCTGAGATGAGATATTATTTACATTATTCAAACTATTGTCCTCATCTTTGTCGCCATATTTATTACAACGTTTCGGCCATTGTATGCTCCGGCCTTCTTCAGGTGGTTGGAATGTCGAACTTAACCCTCTATTTCACTCACTGGGTAGACTGTTCTGAAAGTTTTCCAATGCCTTAAACGAGTATTGAACTCTTTTGGGTCCTGTCACTGGATCTAACCAACGCCTTTATCCACTGTACCATGTGTTCTTAAACATGGAACGTGGAACTAGAACTTAAAACTGAATTAAATTAAAAACAATCATTTGAAATAAAAATTAAACAAAAAAGGCTATTTTCTGTTTTATTTAACTTTCACAATAGTATTTTATTTTCCGACTTAACAAAAGAAAACTAACCTGAAAAACAGCTTCCCTTACCATTCAAAAATCTAAAACCATTTTTAAAATTGCAATAATTCTTGAAATTTACTTCATTCATTATGACTTAATTTTTCAAAATTAGGCATTCATAAAATGACAAAATAGTAATGCACAAAACTAAAAGTTATGGATTTTATTATTGGTTTGGTTTGGTTTTACGTAAAACACGGTTGAATTTTTATTGTCTTTTTTTTAACACAACTACAGTTTGTTTTTTGTTTTTTTTTTACAACTGTATACGAAATGGATAGACAATTTTCCCCTCGGAAAATACGTATATTTAATTTGTTGAACAATTATTTCGAAAATATATTCAGTTCAATTATCAAGCAATTTCATTTAAATACAATTGAAATATATTCCAACGATTTTGAAGCAACCACGAAAAAGTCATTTAAGTCGCGTTGTTCGTTAACATGGAAACCAATTCAAAGAAAAACAACAAAAAAAAATCAATGTTTGGTTTTTCTTTTTTTCTCGTTTTTGCAGTTAACTTTCTTTTTCATTTTATTACTGAAACAGATCAGTAGAAAACCTAATCAAATATTTAATTTAATAAATCTATGATTTTATAACATTAACAATAATTGCAATTCTCCGTAATAGCAAAATAATGACAAGTCTAAGCTTGTGCAACAAAATTCAAGGAAAATAAGAATTAAATATAAACTTTAGTTTAAAGTCTCTTTGATAGTTTGAAATCTGAATGGGTCATCATGAAGTATTAAGTTTTTGATAAAAAACAAGTTCTTGAACCGTTTTACTTTTAATATGTAATTTTTTTCTCTCATAAAGAAAAGAAAAGCACATGGTTTTTTTCTTAACTCAATTTTAAAAAAATAGATAAGGCAATACTTTTTTAAACCACCAGAATGAAGTCAAATTATAATATAAGAATGATATTAAACGGGATTTACTAAAAACAAATGAATAACCAAAAATAAACAGTATTTTATAAAAACTGAACTTACCGCTGCCATGATTTTCACTAGATGGTTCGACGGCTTGAAACAAATTCTATCATTAACAACAGAAAGAGTGCATATTCAAGGGAGGTAACTTCCTTTTGCAAAGAAAAACTTCTGAAATGAATTCATATTTCAGCGACTTGTTTCATTTACGCATTTCCCGTTAGTACTAGAATATTTAGCCACCCCCACGAGGGTTGCATGTGGCACAAGGCCCCTCCGTTGGTACTAGACGTTTGTGTTCGAATCCAAGTAAAATATGAACATTTTTTACTTCTTCTTCCCCTTTTTTTTTTTTTATTATTATTATTATTATTGTCATCATCATCATCATTCGATTTCTGCTATGGACACACTACCTACCAAGTCTGCGGAAAGACCTAAGGCAGGTCGTGGTGTGTTGTTATAATACATTTCATGTTAATTTTTTTTTTTTTTTTTTTTTTCTCCGATGAAGTTGCTAGCGTTACATAGACAAAGTTCTCCTTAGTGTGTGTGCTGTACTTAATAAGACAATTTTCTGTATGTCTCTTAAGCTGGGGTTTCAGGGATTCTTTCAATGTGTTGTTTTGTTCCATTTTTATAATTCCAAGTGCACCTATTACCACTGGTATTATTCTTGTTTTCAATTTCCACATTTTTCTATTTCAATTTCCAGGTCTTTGTATTTTGATAGTTTTTCAAATTCCTTGGTTGCTATGTTACAATCCGCTGGACAAGCCATATCAATTAGTAGGCAAGTTTTTTCTTTCTTTCTGGTTTTTGACAATAATGTCCGGCCTATTTGCTTCAATTTTTCTGTCTGTGTGGATGGTATAATCCCATAGAATGGTGACATCTTCTATTTCTGTAACCGGCGCTGGCCGATGTTCATACCAGTGTTTGCTTACACATTTTCCAAAGTGTTTGCACATTGTCCAGTGTAAGTATTGCCCCACTCTATCGTGACGATTTTTATATTCATTTTAAGGCAAGTATAGAACATCCTGAGATTAGATGGTCTATTGTTTCTTGGTATTTGTCACAGAACCTGCATTTTGGATCCACATTATTATGTATGATATTTGCCTGAAAATTCTAGTGAAAAAGACTCTGGTCTTGCGCTGCAAGAATAAAGCCTTCAGTTTCAGACTTTAATCCAGATGCTCGTAACCATCGATGAGTATTAACTTTATCAACATTGGGTTTATTTGCACGTTCTGGATATTGGCCATGCAGAGGTTTGTCTTGCCAGCGTTGTTTCATCTGTTCAAGGGCTTTATCCTTGGCTTTCTTTTTCATATCTTTTGCTGCAATAGTTGGTTCTTGGCTTCTGTTTTGATTTACTACAGAATCTACTAAATGTAAATGTTGTTTGTATTTACTGCCTTCTTTTATTATTGAATATTTTTCTTTCTGTTTTCATGTTGTTTCACTAATTTTATCATCCAGTCATTTGTTGTTTCCATGTAAGTTAGTAAGCCAATAGTTGTTGTCTTGTATGACAATTCTAGCTGAATAAGACCTCTTCCACCTTCTTTACGGGGTATGTATAGACGGTCTACATCAGCCTTTGGATGATGCATCTTATACTTAGAAAGAAGCTTTCTTGTTTTAGAATCCATTTGTCTGATGTCATTTAGAGTCCAGTTCAAGATGTTGAAACTATATTGGACCACTGGGATGGCAAGGTTATTAATGGCCATAATTCTGTTCTGAGAATTCAATTCAGTTTTTAATACCAGTCGTACCCTTCTATAGTACTCTTTACGCACTATTTCTTTCATTTTCTTATGGTGAATTCCTTCACTCTCATTTACACCTAGGTACTTATAAGCTTCTCCTTGTTCTAAATCTTTTTGTTGTTTACAGCAGGGTCTAAACTAATAGAGGAAGTTTGTTGTAGCGATCCTCGTAAAACTGTAGCTTTAGCACATTTATCCAAATTGAATTTCATTCCAATGTCTTCACTGAAGCATTTTACAGTTTGCAGAAGACCTTCCAGCTCATTGTCATTCCTAGCATACAATTTTAAGTCATCCATGTAAAATAGATGGTTTATTTTCTTTTTGAGCTATTTTGTAACCGCATTCTGTCTTGTTAAGTTGGCTGGTTAATGCTATAAGTGATATGCAAAATAATAAAGGAGACAAAGAGTCACCTTGAAATATTCCTCTATTGATGTTTATTTCCTTAGACTTATAGGTTCCATTTTTATGATTGAGGTAAAGTGTAGTTTTCCATATCGACATACATTGTTTGATGAAATTGATGATAACGGGTGATACCTTGTACATACTTAAAGACTTTAAGATCCAGGAATGTGGTACACTATCGAATGCTTTACGATAATCTATCCAGGCAATACTAAGATTTTTTTTTCCACGGAAGCAGTTTTCCAGGATCATCCTATTAATAAGTAATTGGTCTTTACATCCGTAGCAGCCTCGTTTGCACCCTTTTTGTTCAAGTGGTAGTATGTCATTTCTTTCCAAGAAGAAATATGTCTGTTTTGTTAAAATAGATGTTAACAGTTTGTATGTTGTTGGAAGACATGTTTATTATTGTTATTGTTATTATTATTATTATTATTATTATTATTATTATTATTTCCTTTGATTTCTAATGTATGTATACTCATTTATTTCCAGGTCCCGACCAGAGACCAAAGGTCAGAAATTACATTATGACATTTTCCACTGAGCAGTTTAAAAAAAAACTCACATATTTTACTACATAAATAAAGCCCTTTGTAAAGTGTGAGCTCTACTTGTGAGAACATTTTTTTTTTTTTTATATTTCTTTAAGGCATGGGCTACTTTAGGAATCCCTTCACTAAGTCTATTGGAATCTTTTCCAATCAGTGCAAGGGCTCCAACCACAACAGGTATTGTTGATGTCCTCATGTGCCACATTTTTGAGATTTCCATTTCAAGAACCTTGTATTTTGATAGTTTTTTTGAAGATCTTCAAAGATACATTACAGTCTGCAGAGCCTTCCATGTCAATAAGAAGGCACATTTTGTTTTTGCAGTCTCTGATCATGATGCCTGGGCAATTAGCTTTGATTTTTCTGTCAGTGTGTATTGTAAAGTCCCATAAAATTATTACAGGTCCTATCTCCGTAACCAGGTCTGGATGGTGTTCATACAAATTTCTTGCAGAATGGACAACATTAATTCATCAATTCTAATTTAGGTTGATTTTCATTCTCTCTCTCTCTCTCTATATATATATATATATATATATATATATACTAGCAGCATGGCCCGGGGTTGCCCGTGCTTGATTTAAAAATCATACGACTCATACAGCAATCACTATCACTTGACTTAAAATATTTTTGCCCTTCCTTGACTTTAAAGGAGTGCCCTTTGCCATGCTGATGTTGCTACATGCCTTACTTCTTGCCTATCTCACACTGCAAATTTTTTCTAAGCTCTATACTAAACATTAAATCTGTTACGAAAAAAGAACTAAACAAAATGAACACAAAACGATCAGCTTTAAAAAAAAAATTGTCACTGGGAAAACCGAATGAAAAAAGAATGTTAACAACAAATACTTTTTCACAACTAACCCAGTTCTGCGGAATCAGAATCAACATTGAGTTTAAGCAAGCGAATGAGCCAATTGGAGTAAAGTGCTATGCAGATTTAAATTTTTCCCACTTGTGACGAATACAGCTATCGATTTTTTTTTGCATGCTAGCATGCTAGTTAACATTCGTGTCAGTCAGCTGTTGGCTCTCACGCTGGCCAGTAGAATCTTCCTGCCGATACGTGGCAGCCAGCTATAGGCTCTCACTCTGGCCAGTAGAAAATGGCCACAAACTACATGCTGGGAAATGCAAAGTTGGTCTTGGCCTTCCCACTAACTTGGAGCATGTGCATGTAAATTTTGATGCAAATCCGTCAAAAATTGCAGCTGTGCATTCGTTACACACACACACACACATCCTGCCTTTTATAGATAGAGATCCACTTCAAAAATTCTGCTCTGCTTCTGGTTGGCTCACAGCCTTATATCTTAGTTGTGAAAACTTCCTGACTGGTTGTTCAAAATATAGCTATGTAGACTGGTGATTCTGAATATACCACTTTTTTTAGAGATAGTAAAATTTTGGTCTCCTTGTTAATATTCATTTATTTATTTTTCTATCACTACATCTGTTTGAAACCATGAAAGAGCAGGCTGATAACCCTACATACACCCAGACTTTTATTGCTTCAAAAAAGGATATCAAATTCACCTCACTAACACTTTAATCTTCTAGGTTCATGGTTAGTACAGATGTATTCAGACTCAGTGGAAAAGTCTAGCAATAACTGAACAATTAACAAAATTAGATATCTCCATTCAAGAACAATGGAATGAGAACAATCTACCCTCATAGACTGAATAAAGGATTCAATTCAAAATTCCAAGTCGGTTACCCAAATCAACAGACTCAAAGAAGGCTGAAGGACACAACAGCCAAAGTGTTGTGTTAGTAACAACAAAGATAAGGTCATTGATCTGACTAAATAATTTCACAGAATTATTATATAAAAATTGAACTCTACCAGATATAATTGTGAAAAAGTGTAAGCCATCTTGTTTAAGCTTTTCTCATTAAAGATAAAAACTTTTCACATTTTCAACTTAAGGAAAATGACTGAATTCAAATCACTGACCAGAACCTTTTTTTTCATTAATCAGTTTATAAAATTAGGTATGTAAAGATATGTAAAAGGAGTTGACAGTGGTTTGAAGTTTTAGTTGCTAGCACTCCATACTAAAAAAAATAACAGTATAAAAGGCATAACCCAAGCCTACTGTAGCCATTATTATATATATTATGTGTGAGTGTGTGGTCTAGTTTCATGCTGATAGAATATTATATGCTTTCTCTTAACCAATTCCAAATGCTTTTTTTTGATTGTTACTTTCAGTTGGACCAGTTTGGATTTTTACTTGCTTGAACCCATTTTCATTTGCTTTTCTGTTTATATTAGAGACCAATTAGACACTTCCAATTTCACCATATACAC